AGAGAGGAGAAAAACACGGCACCATACACTTATTACACAAATGAGGAAATCAAGGCACAGGCAGCTTGCCCAAAGTTACAGAAATCTGATTGTCTGGCTACAGAGTCTGTTGTCCTTACAATCCCGCTGTGAGCTACGAGTCATTCAGCTGGGCTCCTTGGGCTTTGAGCCTGGACTCAGGAGTCAACGGAGCGTGATGAGCCATGCAATGCCATATGTGGCGAGAGCCTGCATCTTTCAAAGGGTGTGTTTCTCCATTGTGACTTAGCGATCAGCCACGGAGACATCTGTTCACGGAAACAAGTCTTTGGGGAACAGACCTCCATCGTTGTCAGGGAAGCAGGGAGGCATTATTCTCCTTCCTTCTGGTAACTTTCTCTCCATCCTTCCACTGCCTCCCCTCCCCCAACTCCGGCTTACCTCGGTCAGCATCATAAATGTAGACAAATTTCTGCCACTTGTAATGGTCGATGATGCTGATGAGGGCATCCTGCAGCTCTGGGCGCAGCTGGAGGACAAATTGATTGGATGTGTCGACAGGAAAGCTGGGGGTAATGAAGCAGACATGGAGGGCTCCGCAGAAGGAGGTCAGCATGTTCACAGTCCTCCTCTCATAGAATCCAAAAATGGCGTAGACTCCTTTGGAGAACTGGGAACAGACTGGAAGAGAAGAGGAGGGTTAATGGATAAGCACTGTTACAAACAAGCTGTCGGATGATTGCAAAAGTAATTCATTCATCTGTCTATTCATCCAACCCGTCACTCATCCGTCTATCTATTCATCATCCATACACCCACCATCCAAGCAACCAATGCAGCCTTCCTTTCAAAACACCAATATATCCAAATGTCTGTCCATCCTACATATCTATCCATCCCACTCGCCCATTCATCCAGCTGTCTGATGCAATATTTATTAGATCCCTCATCTGCTAAATGAAGTGTCGGCAGTTTGAAGCCACCAGCTGATCAGTGGGAGAAAGATGTGGCAGTCTACTTCTGTGAATGTTTCCAATTTTGGAAGCTTTATGAGGAAGTTCTACTCTGTCCTATAGGTTTGTTATGGGCCCAGAGAGACTCAACAGCAGTGGGTTGTTACATGCAAGATGTTGTCATGATTGTTAATTGGAGAAGTCATGTAGACAAAGCATTTTTCATGTGTTACTTTACTTTATCTCTATAATCACCCTGTTAATGTAGAAAGGAATGACTGGGTTGGTCATCTGTGAAAGGAAATCGAAAGCTAATGAACATTTCAAGTTCACACAGAGAGGATGTATTTGAGTTGGGCAGATATGCCCTTATCCAGTGATCGTTCCCTTACCCTGCCCAAGATGAGGCATAAAACCATGGTAAGAAAAAGGAGGTCTACTGTCTATTGCTGATGAAACATGTTTGATAAAACAAATGCTTCCCCGCCCCCCTCAACATAGCCTTTAGCTTTCAGTGCACATTTTCCTGCTGATGTTTATTTTGTGTTTGTACATCCTGCTAGCTGATCTGCAGACCTCCCAGGGTATGCGCCATAGTAATAGCTTAGCTGTTTGAATATCCCCACAGGATCCATTTTGTAGGATCCCTTTGAATTTACCAATTCTGCTTTACAGTTGGTTAGACTGCTGGTTAGAATATAATGCCCGTGAGACCAAGGTCAAACTCCAGGTAGGTCAACTACTGAGCTTCATTTTAATATATGATACGGGATGAAGGTTCATTCTCTTTGTTCCAGGCAGGGGACAAACCCCAACAATAGCCCCAACACCTGAAAATTACCCTCCGCATTGTACGGTTAGGCAGGTGCGTCATTGTCATAATAGTATTTTAGAGTTCTTTGTAGTCTTTTCATATATATTAGGCTTTTTAATCCTCTTCACAATCATCTATTTGTTTTTTGTTTAAGATGAGAAAGTTAATGGGTCTTAGGTCCACTGCTCTCTTTATTCCATTAGCTGCTTCCACAACTTTGAGTATGTCCCATGAATCTTTGGTACCACAGGATGTTCCTTAAAAGAAAAGCAAAAAAAAAAAAAAAAAATCTCTGGCCCACCATGTCTGGGAAATGATGTACACACTGCCCCCAGCCTGGGGGGTGCATACTGCACTCTAGCATAAAAGATCTTGAGAGTCCTGCATAAACAAGTCCTTTTTAACTTTAACCTAATGTTTGCTGAATCTATTTGCTGGAGAACACTTCATTGGTGAATATTTATTCATGTGCCATTGAAGGTACTCAGAGGCATGCTGTGCTAAATATTCCAAATAAACACTGGTCTTGCGTTGCCTATTGCAGGTCTCAGCTCCCAATCAGTCCCTAGAGAGTTCATCCCCTCTTAAAGATTTGGACTGGGTCATGTAAATCATTTTTCTGAACTCCCACCCATTTATTTTTTTATTTTCATATTTTTACTCCCACCCATTTAAAACCAGCATCTTATTTATAGGAAACATGGAAGATGCTCCTTAGCATCTGCTTGCATACTTTTCACTACTGGGCTCACACGCCCTCCCAAGGTCACCCTGTTCACTGATAGCCAATCTTTCGAACCTCATGGAAGTCTGCTTTTAACCCATTCTCCAGCACTCCTGATTCTAAAAGCCCCTGGTTTATAGCATGCGATTTCCAGCAAGGAGATCCATTCTCTGAAGCTAGCTACATCTTATTAGAAACAAAATAAAACCAAACAAAACTCACTGTTTTCCTGGCTTGTGCAAAAGCTCTCGGAGGGTTATTTTCAGGTTTCGTATTGAGCCCCCATACACTTCCCCCCTGAGCCCCGGGAGTTTTTCCTCCACATCCTGCTCCGTGTTCCCTGCTAGAGACGTGTTGGCCTGCGCTCTGCTTGCTTGGGGGACTCAGCAATGGCTGCTTCCTTCCTCTGCCTACAAGATTCTTCATTTGCATCTTTGCAAGGAGGACTCCTTCTCAGTTGACCCTCAGCTCAAATCCTTGCTCCTTGCACAGGCCCTATTCAGTCATTGCATCGAAACAATGAATCTACCCTTCCTTTCTTCCTCATCTCCTCCATTCCATCTAGATGTCCCTTCCCTGACTGAAATACTCATGATAGGAGCCCATTCTCCTTTTCATCCTTTTTCTTTTTAATTGCTGTATATATGGAAAATACATAATATTTTCCAAGTCAACATTTTTCATTTGTACAAGTCAGTGATGCTCAACCACATTGTTGATGTACCTATACCAATATCCCTTACCAAGTCGTTCATCACCATAAACAGAAACCCAATGCCTCCTGTTGTTCTGTGCCATGGAGTTGAGTCCATTCTAGTGCACAGCTCCCTGAGCTAACAGAGTGGAACTGCCCCACTGCTGAAATCTTGACTGGAACATCTCCAGTTCTTTCTCCCACAGAGCTGTTGGTGGATTAGAACCACAGACGATTTGGTTAGCAGTCAAGCACTTAACCATGTGCCACTGGGTTCCCCATTGCTTCCCAGACAATGTGAAATCATTGTTTTTTTGTTTACTGGTATATGTCTGTCGTAGCTCAGGTCAACAGGATCTCATGGGTGCCCCCACACCAGTGCGGTGCTTGGGACAGAATAGATGTTCAGTCACATTTTTTGAATGAATTAGTGAGCATGTGATGAGATGGACAGGGCCCACAGGAGAGCGCACGAAGGAGCTGCGTCTCTGTAGCTGACGAGGGGGTCACCTTTGGGTTCCTGTTCTGGGGAGCTGTCTGCTATCAGCACCTGCTTGGGCAGTCATCTGCTGAGGTGACTGTTTGTTCTCCCTTTCTGCTTCACCCTCATGAGGTCACTCCTTCCGTTCCCAGCAGACAATAGCGCTGTCTAAAATGTCGATTGTAATGGCCAGAATCAAGATTTCCATAAATATGGATTTCTCCACCAGGAAGCATACATTCTGCATAATTCTTTCCATGTTAAATATAGATTTGTCACAATACAGAATCCATCTTACAGGGTGCAGTGTATTGGGGGAGCATATAAACCCTGTTAAAATATTATAATATGGTCTCTATGGTATTTTACAGATCTATTCTCCCCTTGCAGCAATGAACGATTATCCTGTGAGATATACATCTTATGTTCCAGACCTATTCCCTCAGCTCATCTGCTTCCTTTCACATGTTTAGTTGGGCCTCTGGGGCCTTGCTGTCTGGCGTTTCTTGTGAAGCCTTTAGGATTGGATGAAGAATGGGTGGGATGTGGTGAAAAGGTGGGAGGAGACAGATATGATCAAATCCTTTGGCACAGAGGAGGCCCTAAAATCACATTTTCTCCTTAAAATCACATCCCTATTTTTGCCTTGAAAATGCATGGGTGTTACAGTGGGTTAAGCACCGGCTGCTAAATGCAAGGTCAGTGCTTCAAAACCACTGACCGTTCCATGGGAGTCAGCTGGCTGCTCTTGTAAAGATTTACAGTCTTGGAAGCCCTATGGAGCAGTTCTTACTCTGTCGTCAAAACAGACTCAGGCAGCGAGTATGCTTTTTTGGCTTCCTTTTTCCATTTCGAAAATCTCTCTTCCCTTAAACTGAGTGCTTTATCCTCTAGGGCCCAGAAAGAGTATTTACCCCTACTCTCAGGGAACACGCCGCAGAGGCGGCCTGGCCTGGGTTCACACTCAGTAAACTCTGGCTTCCTGAGTTGTCCAGTGGACGACCTTGGAGCTGCCTCCTGCTTTCTGCGAATCCGGAACAGCAGCAGCGGGTGTTTGACCCTGTGGGTCCAAGGCCTGTGGCAGAAGGCATTCGCTGGGTAGAGGGTGTGAAATAGTCAAGCAACGAGCACTTGGAAGGCATGTCTTTGAATCTGTCCCAGTAAATCCTCAATAAGGAGAGCTAATGCAGTCTTATAAAAGAAGCACTGGACTAGATTTCAGAAGATTGTATTTTTGGCTTTTGTCACTGCAAAAAGCACTAATGTGGCCTTCAGCAAACCCATGGCTTCAACATGCTCCCTAGCCTCAGTTTTCCCATCTGTTAAAATGACAGTTAACTCCATGATATGTAACCTCGCCTCAGGCTCTGACTTTTTCCATTTTAGTTTAATTAATTGGAAATTGCTTACTGAGTAGAAAACATGTTAGTTATTTGCTGGTCAAACCTTTCGCAGAGGAAAGGCTCTGACGTCATGGGTTTGCTGATGACAACATCCTGGCACTACATCTAGATGCTTATCCACCCTTCCCGAGCCTGGCATTCTCTTTGGGATACAATTATTAACCCATTGTGTGGTTTAGTCGCCTAGTAGTGGAGAATGGATGGAAGGAGGCAGTTAGGAAAAGGGGCTGTATTGTCAAATGTAGCAGGCAGGAGAGAAGAAACCAGGACATTGAAAAGCAGAAGCTGAGCTCTGCTGTGTCCTGCTCTAATTATAGATTCTCATCATGATGGCGTTGGATCAGAGAAGGCTGGACCATGTGGTGCCTTCCATTTAAGAAAATAGTGGTGGATACAAGGCCTTTTGAGAGGAGTAAATAAGAGCTAACAATGGAGAACCGACTGCCCTCTTGATGCCACACCTGGGACTTGTCTTTGCATCGGCTCCTTTCATGTCACAGAGCTGCAACTTAGGAGAGGACAGCCAAGGGCCAGCACTAGTCAGTGCTAAGACATTAACCCTGCCACTCGAGTACAGGGCTTGAGCTCTCCCCTTGGTGATTTACCACACTC